CAGCCAAAATTGTATTATTTAATATGCTATACAGATCAGACCTTTGATATTATGATCAAATTAAGTATCATTTTTTAGTTATCTTGTTAGCAGCACAATGACAATAGTTATTGGTAAAGGAGATTCCAAAAAATTGATTTTGAATAATTTACTTACCAGTAACATTAAGCATAGCAGTAGTATCAATACTCCCTCCTTCATTAGTAGCAGTACATGTATATGATCCAATACTGTCTAATATAACTCCAGTCAATACTAAACTACTAGTATGCATATCACTGCCTTGAGAGGAGGCAAGTACATTAGGTTGACTGGTTATACCAGCAGTAGCAGTAGTAGTCCATGTTATATTAGGAGTAGTTAGTGATGTAACTGTACAAGTGAAGGTAGCAGTGTCACTGTGATTAACAGAGAGAGAGGTAGGAGTAATGGTGAGGCTACTTGGAGGAGGAACTAGAAATAAGAAAAATATAATAATAAAATTCACACTTACATGCATATGTACAAAGTCCACAAGTACTAATATTTAAGTATTCGATGTACATGTAGGTATGTCATTTTTCCTTTTAATTATAGCTGAAGCTATTAATGACACATGTTACATGTATTGCTTTAATTCAACACTTAGAGATTTGTTAAAATTTGCACACAACATTAAATTGGGCTAAAACCATTTTCTTGTTTCTTCTCTTAGTACTTACCATAAACAATGACATTGACATTATCACTGTCAGTCCCATGATCATGAGTAGCAACACAAGTATATACTCCAGCATTAGACCCAGTAACACTAGTAACAGATACTTGTAGAGGACCAGTAGGAGCTGAAGTATAGTTCATAGTTTTAATAACCATTTGTCCAAATCTCCATTCAACAGTGAGAGGTAGGAATACTGAAGACACAGTACAGTCCAGAGTAAGGTTCATACCATAAGTTATAGTGACATTATCATCAGGTATTGAAACTGATGGAGGAGGTACTGTGAATGAGAGAGAGGAAAAAATGAAGAGAGATATTATAGCAATCACACAACATACACATGGTATAATCTAAAATTCTTACCAGTAACATTAAGCATAGCAGTAGTATTACTACTCCCTCCTTGATTAGTAGCAGTACATGTATATGATCCAATACTGTCTAATGTAACTCCAGTCAATACTAAACTACTAGTATACACATCACTGCCTTGAGAGGAGGCAAGTACAACAGGTTGACTGGTTATACCAGCAGTAGCAGTAGTAGTCCATGTTATATTAGGAGTAGTTAGTGATGTAACTTGACATGTGATGGTAGTGCTATTATTGTATTCCACTGAAGGACTGGGAGGAGATATTGAAATATCCCTAGGAGGAGGAGCTATAAGGAGAGAGGGAAGAATGAGAGAGGATTTAGGATATTATTAAAAGGAACGTACATGTACATGTACAGTACATATGTAATGTATATGTCTATTAATGAACTTACGATTAACAGTCAATACAATAGAATCAGTTCCTTCAATAGTACCATCATCATCATCAACATCACAAGTATAAGTTCCAGTGCGAGATAAATCAACATTAGACAATGTTAACGTGCTGCTGGTATCACTAGTCATAGCTACACTACTGAGATCCGTATTGCTGGCAGTAGTGGTCCATTCAATTGTAAGATTAGCAGCATTGATAGTATCATCATGAGAACAAGTAAGAGTGACATCAGAACCATAAGTAACAGTGGGATCATCTGGAGTTACTTCAACCATAACTAAAAAATAAGAGGAATTTTAAAATGCGATAAAAAAGAAGAAAAGGAGACAAAGAGGGAGGGGAGAGAGACAAATTAAAGTTGGCAAGAAGAAGTGAGAGCCAATTAACACATGTCACATCCCAATCAACAGCTCCATATTTAGCAACAGCCACCAAACTTATAAAAATAAGCACATAATACACACACACACACACACACACACACACACACACTCACACAACCAGTGAACATCTGCAATAAAGCAGTACACAGGTGTCCACCATTATAAACAAGATACACACACATACATATCAATACTATAACATAGCAAATACATGTATTCTTACAAAGCTTATAACACATGTGGCATGTACTGTATCTGTGCGTGTGTGTGTATATAGGAATGGTGTGTAGTCTTTATAGTGTATGTGAACTAATATGACTTCAGTTGTTGCTACACCTCAAAGAGAATAATATTACTCCTTATTATTATTATATTATATTATCTTGCCCAACGAATTGTAAGCCAAAACTGATAGCCAATGATGACACAGGGGGAAAGATACTCCATACTCATCTTTACTTGTCGGGTGTGTGCATCTTATGTGTACTTATGTGGGTCTGCTTCCTTTCTATCTGGCATATTTATAGTAGACTTTATCTGTTAATTACACAGATTGGAGTAGTAGACATTTGGTAGCAATGATAACTCTCCCATTTAATATGTATACTTCTGTCTCTTCTTTACTCCACAGTCTCTGTCTCTCTCTTTCTTTCCCTTCCCTTCTCTCCTTCTCCCTCCCTCTCTCCTCCTTCCCTCACTCTCCTTTTCCCTCTCTCCTCTCTCCCTCCCTCCCTCTCTTCTCTCTCCCTCCCTCTCTCCTCCTTCCCCCCCTCTCCTTTTCCCTCTCTCCTCTCTCCCTCCCTCTCTTCTCTCTCCCTCCCTCTCTCCTTCTCCCTCACTCTCTCCTCCTTCCCTCTCTCTCCCTCCCCCTTCTACCTTACCCACAGATTAAAAACACTCTCATCCTAATCCATACAATGTTCACACAGACATTATGTGGATGGCACTGCTTGACTGGGTTACATGTACACACAATAAACCACAAAGGACTACACCCCATATAAGTACATACAAGTGCTAATTTGCTTATGAGAGGGGGTATAGGCTCCTTCCTGTTGTCATTCAATTCTTAGCAAATATTTCATGAACATGAATAAATAGGTATAGGCTCCTTCCTGTTGTCATTCAATTCTTAGCAAATATTTCATGAACATGAATAAATAGGTATAGGCTCCTTCCTGTTGTCATTCAATTCTTAGCAAATAGTCCTTGAACATGAATAAATACAAATCATACATGACAGTCTAATAAATGGTTGATTGGTTCTCTTGAATGCAGCTGTGCTTTGTGCAATACCTCTTGTGTGTGTTGTGTGAAATAACCATAACTCTTCCCTCTTTCTTCCTTCTCTTTGATTACATTTAGGCCCTTCCTTCTTCTCTCTCTCCCTCTCTTTGTCTTTCTCCCTCTCTGTCTCTCTCTCTCTCTCTCCTCTCTCTCTCCTCTCTCTCTCTCTCACCTTTTCACTCTCTCCTTCTCTCTCTCCCTCCCTCTCCCTCTCTCTCTCTCCCTCCCTCCCTCTCTCTCTCTCTCTCCCCCCTCTCTCTTTCTCCTCTCTCTCTCACTCCCTCCCTCTCCCTCTCAAATGTGTCTTTCCTATACACACACTCCTTATCTCAATACAGTTATAATATTAACATCACTCGCTCTATTCATGATACTAGTAGATACAACTATGAACAATCGATACATGTCTCAAGTATCAAGAATGCGTATATGTACATGTAATCGATACATGTAGATCATGTATGCATGTATGTACATGTGATACGTACACAATGTACATGTACTAGTATAGCTTATAATAACGTACCATTTTGAGGAGCCACTGTCCGACAGGATAGGCCTACAAAAAAATTTTTATTTACTATAATCGTCTTTAAAATTACAACAAATATAAACACGCAAACAAGAAACAACAAACATTAAAGCAATATACAAACTTTTAATGGGAATCATGATAACAAACTGAGAACATCGATTATACAAAAAATACAAAACAAAAAATACAGTTTATTATACTATAATATAAATATCAATATAGGCCATCACTACAATATAAATATTGAATCAATTGTTGCCCCTAGCAAAAGATGCTACATAAGGAAAGAGTAAAAACACGATGTTGGCCTTTGTAACAAACACAGAACAGGGATGAAGAATATGAAAAATTATGTCTTAAAAGTAAAATATAGAGGATTTTATAATAACAAGATATAAAAATAATAAATGACAAGTAAAATGAAAAATTCTACTATTACTATTACTTCAGTTTTTTTTCAACTGCAAGAGAGAATTAAAATGCCAACATACGTGTAACATTATTGTTATTAATTTTATTAAGCTAATGCTTTATACATGATTGTTATAATACATGATGCCCCAGGGCAGCTTTGCCCCTATCAATAATAAACAGCAATAAAAAGCAACTACTGTCTACAATAAAATACGTGTATTATATATATCACCACAAGCCACAAGGACACAATATAATAAATAAACAACTTGCCCCTTTTAAAATTGTTATTCAACACAAGGCCCAGTGTTGCAAATACAGTCACTACAGTGCCCACACATGCTGGACATTGGCACACACCATTGATAATTAGAAAAGTCAGCCCTTATGCCCCAAAGCAAAACAAAAGCAATACACAATACAAAATATACACTACTTCAGTCATTTTATTTATTTATTATTCTTACCTAGTATGAATAAGCAGAGTGAGAGTCCCGGGAGATTCATGATCACCACTCGGCCCTACTGAATTCAGCTCTTTTGTGCAGGAATAGGGGAAACGGCCCTGCCTATACAGGGCAGGAGACGCGTGGAGGACGAAGGAGAACTTGGACGCAGGGAGAAGGAATAGGAATAACTGTGGAAAGGAGAGTGAGGAGAAACGTGGATCGGCTCCTTCGGATAACTAAACTTCCTTCTTCCGTAGAAAAGGAATATCTTGTAATGAGAGGCGATTTTGGCTGAGATCCGTAGCTCGTGGTTTAATAGTTAAATAACTTGTTTCTTAATAATAATTATTAGCTTTTTTTAACACGATCATTATTAACAAAAAAATAATTATGACAGGTAGAAGAAAAAAGTTAAAAAAACATTAAAAAGAAAAAAGACTACATTGAATTACACCTATAACTTCAGGTTAAATCATATTCATTATTATTATTACTGATATTAATGTTAGTTTGTTCTATTAGCACTACTGATACACACAATGAGAAAGACACACTACACCTATTGACGCTTTTTGTCAGAAAGAGATGCAATGATGGTCTCATATATATACTCATATTGATCCTGCATAAGAAAAAATGGGAGAAATAATGAATTTTTAGTGCCAATGATTGAAAAATAGCATATAAGGGTTATATTTCACTGGAAATAAATTTCGTTAATTTTCATTAAATTTGCGAAACAAAAAGGTATGGCACAGTAGGAAAAATGGCTGCAGAAGGTAAGATTCGTAAAAAGATTATACCAACAAAAAAAACCTCTATACTGTACATGCAGCAAAGCTACTGAGTAGAAATGCGATGTAATATTATTATCCTTTCAATTAGTGAAATTTTATCTGTACTGATGTGTACTATGAAAAATGGTGTTATATCCTCAAAATAGTGAAAATACTAATATCAAATATCATGACTGCTTTTATAAGGCATCAAAATATCATCAAGTCTTCAAAACATGCATTTAAATTTAAAAAGTAAAACTTGTTTCTCTACTTTTATTTCATATAAAAAACCTAAATGCATTATCATTTGAAAGAGCATCATTACATGTACCTGTAGGCCCACAATACTTCTCCATCATACTGTGCATAAACTCAGATTACTGCACAATTACAAAGTAAAAGACATACTGTATAGCGGAAAATTTTTGGAGGGAGTAAAATTTGGCAAATTGCTAAATTTTGGGTGATTGGCGGATTTTAATTTGGCAAATTTGTGACCACATGCCATTGAGCATGCGTATAATGGCTCAAAATGGCGAATTTTTATTTTGGCAAATGGCTATCAAAATGCCAATTCGCCAAATTTAATTCTCTCCAAAATTTCCTGCTATATCACACACAAACACAATGGTCATGTTTTACTATTTCACGCTAAGATACGCACCATTGATCCTTAATTCAATAAACTGTTGAGATAATAACAGCAGCTGAAGTAATGGTTTACTTAGCAACCATAATTAGGGATTAATGGTTGGATAAGCATCATCAAATAAGTGAAGCCTGACAATTTAGAAGTGAAATGATGTTCTTTATTTTTGCTCAAAAATAAAGTTCAATTCCAAAAATAGCTGCTATTTAAAAACTGAGATATTTCATCAAATTAAACAGCACTCTTATGTACAATATTAGAGAATAGCATCTTTTATAAATCTGTTTTTAGAATCTAATTTTATCTTTCATAAATCTATTTTTAGAATCTAATTTTATCTTTTATAAATCTATTTTTAGCACATTGCATTCCTTTTATTATCCAAACAGTGTATCTAAATTTAGTAACACATACCCTTGTTGTAATGCAGCCAGGTCTTTGCTGGTTGGTTCTTCTAACAGCTTCCATGACATTGATTTTACTAGAAACACTGATGTAAGGAATCAGTGAACATAATACGGCGAAAACACCAGAGGCTTCTTCATGGCTACAGAGGGAAAGAGATATAGAAAGAATGAGATAAAGAAAGAATTTATCGCATAGCGGGAAATTTTGGAGGAAATTAAATTTGGTGAATTGGCATTTTGATAGCCATTTGCCAAAATAAAAATCGGCCATTTTCATTCATTTAATTCATGCTCAATGGCACGTGGCCACAAATTCACCAAATTAAAATCTTCCAATCACCAAAATTTAGCAATTGACCAAATTTCACTCCCTTCAAAATTTCCCACTATACGGTAATTAGTACATTAAAATTACACTAAAAGACTATCAAATTAACATAAAAGTTTGTAATTTGGGGGGGGGGGATAAAGTTTTGCTAAATTTTAATTTTAATGTGAAGGGCTGTCAAAACTAGAAATTCACCAAAATCTCATGTATATGGTAATAATTAAATCTCTTTTATGTCATGCTACAAGTACATGTATAAACATGTATATGGTATTTCTCTCATTGGTCTACCTCTCATTATCCCTTACTCACCCAGCAGCAGTGTGTACAGCAACCAGCCCAGTCTTTATTTCATGAATATTTTCAATCAATTCAATAATTGCTAAATATAAAAAATAACATTACAGCAAATTTTATGGGGTACTATATAGCCCATGGTTTTGTTCAAAAAATGGCTCCGAAATCACCCCAAATTTTTATTACATTTTCTGATACATATTGATGTCCTTATGCCATGTAGAAAGTTTGAGCTGATTCTGACTTCAATTTTTTAAGTTATGGCCATTTTAAGAAAATGCCAAAATTCTGAAAAATACCCTGTACTATAGCCCATGGTTTTTTCTGAAAAATGGCTCCGAAATCACCCCAAATTTTTATTACATTTTCTGATGCATATTGATGTACTTATGCTATGTAGAAAATTTGAGCTGATTCCGACTTCAATTTTTTGAGTTATGACCATTTTAAAAAATCGACCAATTTCCCTGTACTATAGCCCATGGTTTTTTCCAAAAAATGGCTCCGAAATCACCACAAATTTTAATTACATTTTCTGATACATATTGATGTCCTTATGCCATGTAGAAAGTTTGAGCCAATTCCGACTTCAATTTTTTGAGTTATGGTCACTTAAAATGCAATAAAAATTCCCTTAGCTTTTCTTATTACTAAAATTTAATACTAACATCTACTATGTACATGTACTGTACATGCACAATATCAACTCACTGAAATGATCATTAGGAGTAGTACCATCTGATGGCCAGTTTGATATTTGGAACATTGTCAATGCTTGATGACTCTCATTCATGTCTGACTCAATTTCTAAATTAGAAGCCTAAAAGAGAAAGGAAAAGAAGGAAAAATCATAAAGAGAAAGAAAGAAGTTAAATCAATCAAAAACAATAATAAATATTTTAAAGGTTGCATATAAATTTTCAAAATACTATACACAGATATACATGTATACTTGTACATGTAATTCCCAGTATTAGGATTAAATGTTATTAAATAGTTACTTTAATATTTTTAAATTCGTCTCTATCAGTTAGCGTAACAGTGATGTCTTCTTCATACCACTCCAGTGGCTCACTGTCTGGCCAATACTCATCCTAAAAATAAATAAAACAAGAAAAGAATTTTACTAGATGAACATAAAACATATTACAAAAGGAAAGAGCCTATAAGAAATTTATTGAATGATTTATTGAACAATTTATTGAATGAGCAAGCAAAGCAATTTTATGTACAGTAGAGCTTAATAAACAAATTTCTTAGCTTTGAAATAACTTCCAATTTTTCACTACAATTCATGCTACCAATATACCTATGTACATGTACAAAGCAACAATGAACACGAGGTCTTCGCTATATACTGTATAGCGCAAAATTTTTGAGGGCTGTAAATTCAAATTTGCCTTTAAAAAATCTCTATATTGCGGATTTAATTATCATGAATTTATGCGTCTGCCATCTTGTACCATAATAGTTTTGATTTTCATGAAAGTAATTGTCATAAATCTTCAAAAAATTGTAGAATCCGCAAAACTTACAGCCCTCAAAAAAATTTGTGCTAAACGGTAAACTCAATATAATAATAATGTAGGCATACCTCTTCTTCAACTGATCCTAGTACCACGAGTACGTTCACATGTCTCTCCAGCATCATCTTCCAAAAATCCATTGAAGTATCTGCCAGCGGATGCTGTGTTAGTATGTACTCGGCAGTTCTACCTAAACACTATCAGGATAAAGAAAGAGAGAGAAGACAGAGTAAATAAAGTGTGTTTATGTACATGTATAAATACTAATAATAGTACATGTATAAATACTAATAATAGTACATGTATAAATACTAATAATAGTACATGTATAAATACTAATAATAGTACATGTATGCATGTACAAATACATATACATGTAAATGCTAGATACATGTACATGTACATGTAGATGTTCATGAATTGTGTGGTACTATACATGTAGTGTGGACTAACTTACTCCAACAAAGCTGGCATTGATGTAAGTGTTACCCATACTCCCTTTACTTAGTGGGACACGATTGAAATCAACTAGAAAGAAAGAAAGAGAGAGAGAGAAAGAGAGAGCTAGTAATATCAAGAGTACATATAAGGCTTGCATATACATGTACATGTACATACATGTAGTACATGTACATACATGTAGTACATGTACATAGTACACATGTATAGGAGCTGTTAAAACTGCTGTATAGTGAAGTACAATAGACACTCTATTATTCCATAAACATGTTAATTATTGACACTGACACTTTCGTGTTAAGCTATTATGTTCACTTAAAGGGGTTCAGTCCTCTCCTTTTATTGTTTTATCTTGTTCTTTCCTCTCTCTCTCTCTCTCCCCTCCCACTCTGTCTCTCTCTGTCTCTCCCTCCCTCTCTGTCTCTCTCTCCCTCCCTCTCTGTCTCTCCCTCCCTCCCTCTCTGTCTCTCCCTCTCTCTCCCTACAAGGTAGTCCTGCTCCTTCTCTATTCTTCCAGGAGTTGTTAGGGTTGAATGCGTCCTTCATTACACTTGGATCAGGTCTAATGATGTTCTGTGATCCCTGAGATAACACAAAATAAATAATAAATAAAAAGATAAAACTTATACCAACAAACATTTCACTATGATCACTAAGTACAATATATTGTCTACAAAGAAATGAAGAAGATTATGGTGGGAAATTACTGTATAGCGGGTAATTTTGGAGGGGATTAAATTTAGCGAATTTGGCATTTGATAGCCATTCGCCAAAATAAAACCCCACCATTTTTAGCTATTATACACATGCTCAATGGCACGTGGCCACAAATTCACCAAAATTAAAATCCGACAAGTACCAAAATTTAGCAATTCACCAAAATTTATCCCCTCCAAATTTACCCGCTATACAGTACCATGTGTTGTTTTGGAAAACTATACATGTACATAAATCTAAATAAAATAGCATGTACATGTACATCAGCTACAGTATCTCAGTAAATTACATGTACATGTAACTAAACCTCCTTTTATACATGCTTTCCTTCTTCTTTTGAAGCAATATCACATAAAAACAGTTACATATACATGTATATTGTATGTATTTTTGAGTATTGATATTAATTCAGAGATTTTAGAAATTGGGACTTTCGTCCCATTCCAAAAATTTCCCAAAAAGGGAACTCATTCTACAGTCGCTAACAATTAATAAGAATATTCTGAGTCTCACTGTCCTTGGAGTTTATATATGCACTATTTTGCAAAAGGCTATCGTGGGTCGCACTCATAACAAAGCTATGAATATCATTACAATTCACACCCACATCCTTATGGTTTCACTGCATCCTCTCTTGGCTTTGAGAGAGTACCCTTTTTAAAATTGATTTTATTTCATTTTATTTGATTATAAATAAATTCATGTATATATGCATTACTCTATATTCCCCCAATTATATAGAAACCTTTCTTTAAAAAGCCTGTGGGTTGTTATGCATGAAGGAATAAACAGAATCCTTATATTAAGTGAAGGAAAAGCTTCTCCTAATAGAAGCCAGTATACAAATTAAAGATATCAATAAATAAAAGTCTAAAATTACATTGTATATCCAGTAATACACAATATTGAGTGTTTACATAAAAAGTTGATGCTAAATGAAGCATAATAATAATAAATAAATAATTAAATAAATAATACTAATAAATAAATAATAATAATTATCAAAAGTGAAAGGAGACTGAAGTATAAAATAAACAAAACAACACAAACAACCAACAGACATTAACATCAGACCATGTATACACAGAGAGGCTGTGTAGCCATTGAGTGTGTTCTTATTTTGTGTATCTTATGCTATCACTCCCTCTCTTCCTTTCTCATTATCTATCCTCTTTGTGATTATCTGTGTGTTTATTCTATACATGTATTGTACCAATTAAGATATATACTATACTTTTCATTGTACATTTACTCAAATAAAACCTCTCTCAAATTTAAACTCGTCCCAATTAGAAGACATTGAAATTATTACAATTATTAATTAATATTACAATGTACACATGCACTGAAGAATAAAAGACTATATACGAAGGATTACGGACTATAAACACAATTGTGATGTCAGTTATTTTACAGTGGAAAATAGCATTTATCGGTACTTGCAGATGATGCAGTACATGTATATGTACATACATGTACTGCTATACCTCATGTACATTTGTAGTATGGTGCGTGGGCAGATCAAAGGTGCCACCAGTGCTACAACTTCCAATAACCACACTGTAGGAAAATGTAGCACTGTGTGGAATATATAGTACTGCACAGTATAATATGTATGGGCTTTCCTGTTAACCACAAGCTTTGATAGAGGCAAATCACAGCCTCAGCCACATACACTAGACATGTAACAATAATAATAGTGATAAATGAGATCTCATCGTCTTGCGCTGGCCACCTTCGTGAC